GAAAGAGATAAAACTTGTTTTATTCAAAAATACATATTCAAATATTACATATATTTACATGTAATTGAATAAAATCTACACAAATTTCTTCTCTTGTCCCCCATCTTTTTGAAATAAAGCGTAATTTAGAAAGTCAAACAACGTTCCATTAACCGAGGGTTCTTTTGGTCCATTGAGTACAATATAAGAAGCTGTAAATAAAAAAATATATTAAAAAAAAACAAAAAGGGAAGATTTAAAAAAAAAATAATGAATGGAAAAGTGTTACAACTTATGAAGGTATATAGATTAGTGTTCTTAAAACATATTTTTCCACCTTTGCCCTTCATATCCATGGAGGCCATATAACTTTTCGAAAATACTCTGAGTTTTTAAAAAATAATATAACTGTTAGTTGGTTATTAATAACTTTTTCAAATATTTAATTTAAATAAAACAACCTATACAATAATATATGAAAAATAAATTAATAATCAAAATATAAAACATTTCTAGCATTGAAAAATAATTTTCGGGGTGGCCACATAAAATTTTTATAAGAAATTTTATGTGGCCATTTATTAATGGTTTAACGTCCATGTTTATACACTTATGGGGCTTGGACAGGGATCAAATAATGTCATTTGCTATGTTAAATAGCATGCATTTTCTAAAGCAATTTAAGGTGTTAACCAGTTTTGCAGACCAAGAATGGGTATTTTGAACATTATACATCCATCAAAAATTAAAAAACGAAGAATTAATGAGGAGCTTTGATCAAACTTTTACCTCTTTAGAGGATAATAAAGGATTTTAGAAGTGGTTTTAAAAAAAGAGGACTTTAGAGGATTTTAGAGGAGCTGCAGACACCCTGATTATAAATGAGGTAACTCCACCAATTAACTGTAATTGATTTATCCTTAAAAAAACATGAAGTAAATCTAATATTATGATTGTGGAGATATATTATATTGTGGAGAACCATCCAAACCACACAAGTGGAAAATTTGCATCCAAGTTTCCACTTGTGTGCAAATTTGCATCCACTTGTCAATATTCTCATTATAACATTTTTCTTTTGTAGTTGTAAATTTAAAATTTTCACAATACTGTTTGCTTTCATTTAGAATTGAAATAGTTATACAAATAGTTATAAATTTTGTATTAACAAAATAACTCTTCTTACCACATTATTTAAAAAATAATAATTGTAATATATAGATGTAATACCTGAAGAGAATTTAGTTTTTATTTGTATAAACTTAAGCCAATTCTTCTCTGCATTTTAGTGCAGTCAATGCTTTGGTACCTGGAAGCCGACAAACAGTTTTATCACTAATCCAATCATATGGAATTACTTCTTCTTGTAAATCTTCATTCCAAACAGCTCTTTTCCGCATATTCGATTTTGAAAAAATTACATGAACTAATATAAAATGAAGAAACCATAATATAAGTGTACTAACAGGCCTAATTAAACTAGCTAAATTTGAACATTTTATAACCATGATTCTTGCTAAACAATAATATTGTAGACATTATAAGCAAAGATAAGATTTTCTTTATTTTATAAATTTATTATATTTTAAACTCATTTTTATTAATTTATTTATTACTCTATTATTCAGCAGAGTTCTGAATATATTATGTTCAAATAACTTAAGGCTCAATAACAAAGACAAATAATGAAAGAATACTAGGTTGCTAAAACATAAATATTTACATAAGGTAATTATGGAATATTAAAAAAAACTAAAAAAACAAAAAAACAAAAATACTCATTATTTATATAAAATATAATAGTATAATATAAGGTATATTATAATATATGACACAATAATATCTACTTTTAATTGAAATATAAAAACAACAAAAATTAAAAAAGAAAATATTTTGATAAATAATAAATTATCATTCAAACAATTTTCAAGACCAAAAAATAAAAGTATTACATCAGTTACTTTTTGAGCTTTTCTTATATTACTTAAAACATCAACTCAATTCTAGGCTTTTTTCATTATTGAGTTTTAATTTGTAATGTTGAATTAACACTGAAAAAAAATATTAGCAGACAAAAAGAAAATATATCTTTATTGAAATATATGTAAATATTTCAATAAAGAAATTTTAGATCGATTTTTATAAATATAAATTTATATCAATCAATCTAAATTTTTTTCTTTTCCGCCACCTTTTGGAAATGAAGAGCACTTTTAGAAGTTAGACAAAATGCCATCAATTAAAGTTTCAGTCGCTCCATCGTATTTAATAGAAGAAGCTGTTAATAAAAAAAAATTAGAAAAAAAAAAAAAAAAAAACACAAGGAGAAATTTTTGAATATATAAAAAATGAGAATAAAAAAGTTTTACATATCTTATAAAGGTATACCTTTCACTACACCGTATAAATTAGTGCTCTTAAAGCATATTTCCACCTTTCCCCTTTATATTCATGGAGGTCACAAAATTGTTGGAAAATATTCTAAATTTTAATAGATAAGAGAACTGATATTAATTGTGCAAGAACTAACATTAATTTTTTTTTTTAATTTAAATTGAACTCATTATCAAACAATTTTTTTGCTAAATAATTTAATCCTTAAAATTCCTGAATAATTAAAAATTATTTTGATTACCTCAGCATTTTAAAGATATTCCATCAACTGCAATTGATTCACTTAAAAAAAAACAACAAGTAAAGCTAATATTATTCTTTGAAATTTTAATTGTCTTTATACAAATACTCATTATATTTTTAAAGTGACTAATAAAAATGGATTTAATTAAAATCAATTCATTTGTATTAAAAAATTATATTAAAGCCTTAATCATACATTATATAAGAGTATTTTGTAATACAATCTAAATAAATGTTGCGATATGTAATTTTTTTATCCAAAATTTAGCTTCTGTAAGCTTTAGAAATTTTTTAAAGAAATTGTTGATGAACTTGGATCTACGGGTACTAATGTTTTTATATTGTTGTAATGTTTATTCATTCCCTGTTAGTTTCTGTAAGGCAAAATTTTAAGGTGTTTCCATAATAAATTCTGTTATATCTGAAGTTTAGTGTTAGTCTGAATAATTTAATTTCTAAAATCTGTTTTGCATTGCCTGTCTTATAACATCTTTACTTGGAACAAAAACCATGTGGTTTAAAAGTGAGCTAGAAGCTTTCATTAATGAAGAAAATATTGCATTCAATAATCCTAAAAATATATTAAACCTGTCAGCAAAATCAGCTGTCAATAATCCAAGTATTAGCACCATTAAAAATTCATCTTTGCTGCATTACATTTATTTTGGTCCAAGTAGTTTAGGATTTTTTTAAATTTCAAAAAACAGAAGTAAATGTTTTTTTAATATCACTTTATCTCTTTTGATTAATGGTGATACTGCACTAACTGATGAAACACATTGACAGATGTAAGGCCAGTATAAAAGTCGCAAGATCTATTATTTTTAAAATAAATGTTTGTATACAAGTAAACTGCAGTAACACGATTTGTTTAGATTATGTTTATATACAAGTTTGTCTGTTTTCATAGTAATGTTTGATGTGGTTGAAGTTAATTTTTCAAATAAATCTTTATTTTTTTATTTCGTGCTGAAGTTCTTTTTTAAAGTTATCAATTTCCTTTTTTAATTCTTGATGCTCTATTAAAAAACAACGCTTAGCATTAAATTCAACATAATTTAATGGATCACTTTTTGAAAAAGCTGTATTATATTTACATTTAATAATATCAGTCTTTGAGCATTGTAGCTTAAGTTAAACGAAAAATATCGAATTTTAAACGATAATGTTCTTTCAGGAAAATCGTCTGAACATGTTTTTGATCTCTTGAAAATTTTATATGATATAAGTTCAGTATTTACATTTTTTTTCCATTATAAATCTTTATAACTTTAATCGTTGAAATGTTTACAATTTTACTTCCATTTCTGCGCGCGCATAAATTTTATATCGTATTTTTTGTCAACAATGATTGAAATAATGACGTTAAAACAACGTTAAATAATCAACGTTTAAACTGTAACGTTGATTTAACGTTGAAATAACGTTAAATAATCAACGTTTAAACGGTAACGTTGATTTAACTTTGTGACATAGTTGAACAACGTTAAATCAACGCTTCAACCGAATTTCAACGTTGAAACAACGTAATAATGCCGGCTGGGTAGAAAGCAATTTATATAACATGAACAAAAACAAACAACTCCATATGATGTAACTTGTGAATTTCGCAAAACTCTATTTTAGAACCTTTATTATTTCTAGTTTATAAAAATGATTAAAGTTTAGCAACTGACTTCTTTTTGCAGATGGCTCGAATCTTTTAATTCACACAGAGATGTTAAAACACTTTTTAAAACAGCTAATAAACTATTATTATTATTATTATTATTATTATTATTGTTAATATTATTATTATTATTACTATTATTATTATCAAAACTATTGTAAAATAGATACGGAAAATAAATAGCTTGTTGTTGTTGTTGTTGTTGTTGTTGTTGTTGTTGTATTACTTTTCTAAAAAATCAGCAAAAAATAAAAAGTTGCCCATAAAAAAAAATAAATTGTCTCCTGAAAGAAAATACATAAATAAAAGTTCAAAATTATGCTTGATCGATGTAAAACGAATAAATAACTCTGATGTAAAACGAATAAATAAACAAACAAACATACACAAAGCAAGCATGAAAACTGTAATAAAATATAAATGAAAAAAAGTTTACGGAAACAAAAGGTTTTTCTGCAGAAAGTTAGATATTTCTACTTTTTGAATTCCTCACTTTTCTTGATTTTTGATAGGTCTAAGGTTAACTTAAAACTTTTTAAACTAAAGGGTGTATTTTTATCTTCAACAGTTGAGCGCTTTATAAAATGTTGTTTATATTTATATAATATTTTTATAATCTATAAAAAACAATTTTATTGTTAAAGCAGTTAATCTTGTTGTTAACGAAATCTTAATATGTTTATTTTCATTATACATTTTAAATTTCATTTTTTAGATCAATTTTTCACCTGTCATTTGGATATTACACATTTGGCGCTTTCCTGTTAGTTACGCACTTCTGCAAGATATATTTACAGATAATGTTAATATGGTGTGTCCACCGATTTTAGAAAGTATTCAAAGTAAGTTTTTTGATATTTTGCAACAGATATTTGCATATAAATATTATAAAAGTTTTGTATGGTAAAGTTTTTGATACAATTGGTGTTTTGATAAATCAGCATTATTCTTAAGTTTTAAGAATAAATGCTGAAATATTATTAAACATTGAAGTATCAGCAATAAAATTAAAAACAATTTTTAGCTGCGTGATTACTCCATGCCGTTAGAAAATTTAGTGAGATTTATAGATTCATTGAGCTTCTTCTAGAAAATTGAATTGTTTCTTGAGTCTCTAGGTGATCAAAAATATTAAAAAATAGAAGCGGTGCTGATTTTGAAAATTATTGTTTTAATTCTAAAAAGAAAAATAAAATAAATTAAGTGTTTTGAAGCTAACTAAAAAAAACTTTCTTTTTAGTTATTAATAGCTATTTGTGTAAGAATCAGGCTAAATCTTGAAACTGTGGAAAAGACCATCACTAAATTGCTTGATTTTTTTTATATATTGGTCAGGAGATAGAACTTATTGGGAAAAAAAAAAATTCAAAACTGTTTTGTTCATTCGGAATACGGGGTAAAAAATTTAAGAAGTTTAGTTTTTAGTTCCAAAAAAACAGATTTAAAGTTTGTAACCTTTGAATCTATTTTTTTGAAATATCAGACGTAGCTCTGAGTTAATATCAGACGTAGCTCTGAGTTGCGTGACACGGTGCTTCTGACTAATTATCATAGTTTAAAAGTACAAAAACATTCAGTTTCGTCAATTTTTAATGGGAGTTATTTCTAAAGGTGAAGTGTTGCACACAATTTTTCTTGCAGGATTTGTATGTATTGAAGGTATTGAGTCTAAAAATGCAAAGAAAGTAATGTAGTACTAAAGGCCGCTTCATATATTAATGTTTGAAATAGAAAAAAATAATCGACGCCAGCTCTAGCCCAACAAGCGACATTGGTACGGAAGGAGGCGTGAACATCCTGTTAAATGCTCTCCTGAGGTGCTCTATGATAAGACCTATGTAAGGACTTCTGGGAACACCTAAATACAAAAAAAAAAAAAAAAAAAAAAAAAAAAAAAAAAAAAAAAGAACAGGTTGTTATGTATGAGCTCTATTACGGAAACTACAAATAACATTAAATTATAATGCTATTCCATTTTGTTAAGTAATATTGTTATTTTATTTATGATTTTATGGTTTTAGTTAATAATCAATAATATTTTTTAACTATCTAAAATATTAATTCTATTTAAAAACTTTTAAAAACTATACTTTTATTTTTAACTTGAAATTTTTTTCTACGAATCACTATAAAAATAAAGAAATTACTCAAAAGTTGTTTCATGCTTTGGAAAACAACTTAATCAAATAAGTTACTGACCCTAATGCTTATAAAGTTACAGGGATATCTAACATGGTCTTCAAATTATTTTCTAAACAGTTTAACAAAATGGAATAAGGTAAACAGACACATGGATAGATTTGAGTTGTATTACAAAATCTGGTTGGAAAAAGAACTAAAAGCAAGCAATCCGAGTTTTAAAACAGATAAACTAGATAAAAGCCAAAACTTGGCCTTGACTTTTCCATCTTCATATCACAATTTAGGTATGACGTTTTTTAAAAATTAAAGTATTGGACTCATATTGTTTTTTACTATTGAATTTTGTTTTAGCTTGCGTTTGTACTTAATGCAATCATCTGATGTTTTTTTATTTAAATTAGCTGTCTACGGAAGACCACCAGGTGCAAAATCCATACCATTAAACCAAGCTTCTGAAAAAACGAAAAAGAGGGAAGCAGAAAAAACAAGTTTTGCTGGCGCAAAAAAGGAGTTATTTTATTCACTTATTTTGAAACTAAAAGAGGAAAAAATGTTCAGCGGTGCCAAGGTACATTAACCTCAATACAATATTGCATTACCTCAAACATTAACATTAATATTAATACTACAGTCTTTAACCTCAATACTATATTCATTTTAATTTGTTTAATTTATTTACAAATAAAAAATGCAAGGAGGGGGGGGGGGGGATATTTTCTTAGTGGATTGTATTTATCTCACTCTTCAAGTTTACATTTTTACACTTAAAGTCATGAAGCAAATTTTAAAACCAGAAAACAATGGTGCAGTTAATTCAACAACAATATATACTGGAAAGGAAACATTAGCGTTGATTTTGGACTGATGACTTAGTAAAGTCAATTACCAAACAATATGTTAAGAAGCAATTTTTATTTTTATATTGCATTGTTCCAATTAAACTTTATATTGAAGAATTCGATTCACTATGGAATAATGAAAAACCATCCTCTAAACTTTACTGCCGATCAGTGCGATTTCAATATGTAAAAGAAAGTGCTGAGGTTATTACTCAAGAATAAATTTTCTTAAAGAACAGTAACTTGAAACCAACAATCTTTAATTCCTATGTTATTAAACATAAGTTAGAATGCACAATGGTTGATGGAAAAGTGGCTGCTATAGTATCGCCTTTAAGTAATTCCTTTCAAGTATGTAGTAATTGTGGACTGATCCCTTAAATATTAACACCTTAAATGTTGCTTTTTCAAAAATCTATAATACAGTTTCTACTAAGCTTGGATTGAGCAAATTACATGCATGGATTATGTGCTTTGAATGCTACTCTTATATAAGATATAAAATTGATTTAAAAAAATGGCAGTTTAAAGGATATGTTGACAAAAATATTGTTAAAAAAAAAAAAGATTATTGTTCAACAAAAAATGAAAGATTACTAATGTTTAATAGTAGATGTACTAAAAAGCAGCGGTTCAGGTACAACAAATGATGGAAACACGGCACGAAAAGTATTCCAAAACTATAATTTGTCTGCTGAAATAATTAGCTTAGATATAAGTCTCATGAAACGTTTCTACGTAATTCTTTTGCTTTATCGTACAAACATCAAGTAAACGCAGATGAATTTGAAAAATATACCAAGGAAACAGCAGAGCTCTACGTTTTTCTGTACCCATAGTTTCCAATGCTTCAAGTTGTACATAAACTTCTAATTCATAGTTCTCAAGTTGTACGATATAAATCAGTCCCAGTAGGTCTTCTTTCTGAGGAAGCTCAGCAATGTCGAAATAAAGACGTTAAAAATAATAGAGAACACTTTACGGGGAAGTATTCAAAAAAAATCACAAACAAAGATGTTATGCGAAGATTATTGTGCAGTTCAGATCCAATTTTTAGCTTTTGACGAAGGAGTTGGAGATGTGTTAAAAAACTTGAACTTAACAAAGATTGTATTAAACGTTTGCTACAACTTTTTTTTAATTTATAGTTTTCAATTTCCACTTTAATTTCTGATAAAATATCTCTTAAATAAATGTTTTTTTTTAATTTTTATTAAAAGGGAATTAACACGTCACAATATTTTAATTAAATAATGCTTTGAATTTGGGAATTATTGTTTCTAAAAAACAAGCTTATGACTAAAATCTTTAAAGGCCTACATACCCTTTTCTGTTAGGGTGTTTAGGGTGTCTGCATCTGCAAAAAAAAAAAAAAACTGCATCTGCAAAGTCTGCATCTGCAAAAAAAAAACACGAAGATCTTTTTTTGACAAAATGGTTTGTTTTTTTTGCAGATGCAGACACCCTTTTGGATGTCTACATCTGCAAAAAAAAAACATTTTGTCAAAAAAAGATCTTCATGTTAATTATTCATCCAATTAACTCTGTTCTCAGCTATAGGTACCTAATAATATTAGCGCAACATTTAAAAAGTATATAATCTACAATTTATGAATTGTTAAATTTATTTTACATTGATTAAAACTTATAAAGTCTATAGACTTTATAGGTTTGTAAAAATAATAATTCTCAAATAACTTTTACATTTTATCTGTATTGCTTTTATTTTAGGGCACTGTTTTGTAAAACAAAAACTTGAAAACTAATATATGCTTTGAGTTATATTTTTTCCACAGTATATCACATAAGACAACCATTCACGTTCCATTAAAGACAATTTGCTGTTTGCTGTCTGATTACAGTCATCGTTTTGCTATAAACATCTTTGTTATTGTTAATCTAACTATTTTCATCATTTTCTGTTGTTGGTTCCACCAATAAACCTTTTGTTTTCAGGTTACTAAATCGACCGCAATATCGATTGTACATCTTTAATATACACATTTTACATATGTAATATATGTAATACATATGTTTACATATGTAAACAAACACACAAAATTACAATTTGTACTGAAATTTTAATATTATAGTTGCAACTATTTATTAATCATCAACATAATCTAACTTGTAAAAGTTTTAACAGGAACAAAGCCTACATTTGAAAATAAAGAACTAATCTGTTGGCTAGTTACAAATTGATCAGGCAAAATTTCCCTTCTAAGCTGCATGTGAACCTGCTTAGTTCTCATTTTATTATCTAATTCTTCTCCACAAATAAAGTATTTATACAAAAGTGCTTTATGCTGACTTGAAAATATAAAACAACTTCTAAATGGTAATGCCCAAAATTGCAATACAAAAACGTCCATGCAAAATGATTGTCTGTCTTTTACAGAAACATTGTTAGAGAATAAAGAATTTGGCATATTTTGTGGTAACGTAACTTTCATTATATGAACAAACGAGCTGCAAGCTTTATCCAATGACGTTAATGATTTCGGATGTGTATAAAGATTGGATAGCATGTATTCTTCTAACTCATCATCGCTTTTAAATGATAAGATACAATTCATTTCAGTGAAAAACTTAATGAACAATATTGCTTGTCACTTCTTTTCTATTTTCCTGCAGTGACTTGTTTCCCTTAACTAAATATCTGTTTTGTTATATGGCAATAACAAATAAATCGAGTGTTGAATTTTAAGATTTCCATACTCCTCTTTAACTCCCTCACCAATATTGAAATAACGCTACATCTTCATAATTTTCTAACTAATCTTTGGTCATTTAACTATGGTTTTATTGTTGCTAATTTGAGCAAATGCTACTTTTGCACCTTTAGCGTCAAAACTATAATG